AGTGACTCATTCTGTGGGAATCAGCATGCGTGGAGAGCTGGCTTAAAAGCAGGCACTTCATGCCTATCCGTTCCCACCTGCCTCCCCACTGCATGCTGGGGGTGAGGTAGGCCAGGGACTCTACGGGAGGGGTACGTGCAGGCCAAGCAAATCTTTCACAGACTGACTGTTTGGTAATATTTTTTTAAAAAAAACTCATTTATTTTTACATCTTTAGCTATTTCGTTTTCTAATTTCCCTTTTACTGCCCAATATTATTTATATTCCTATTTATTGACTTCCCCAGGGTTAGACTTCCAAATTTTGAGAGATTCCATTTGGTTCAAATAACTTCTCGAACACTGGCAATTAGGCACACCGGCATTTTGTTTCCTTTTTGTTCAGCAGCCCACACATCTTCCAAGGCATCTGTCTCACCTCTAAAGATTTAACTTTCTTTTATTCTTAGCTTTATTTTTGACTATCATTTTCCGTTTTTCCCCAAAAGTTTAGTGTTGCTGTGTTATTTTCTGGTACTTATAACTGCCTCTAGCACAGGGCTGGGCAAGATGTGGCCAGGGGGCCAGATGCAGCCTACCTAGCACTTTGGTCTGGCCCGCAGACTGCATCCTGCTACTCCCAAGTTGTATTGTGCTGCCCATGCCACTGAATTTCCAGGTGGTGGCTCAGGCAATCGGATCTTATTTAAATGGCTACTGGCTCCCAATTGCAGTGCTACCCCAGCAGGGGCCGCAAGCCCCTTTTTAATTCAAAACCTCAGGCCCCAGACAATTCTGAAAGGAGGCTAGTCCCCAGCCCTGCCCCTTCTACACCAAGCCCTGCCTCTTCTGGGGGTGGAGCTGGCCCATGACCATGTACCAAAATTTATTAAGTGGCGCCCCTTTAAAAATTATTCCCCACCCCCACCCCAGCACATTGACCTTCATTATATTGTATTTACTATTACTCTTTTGTTTCTGGTATACAATCTACTTCAAAAAGTGACAGTATTACCTAATCCTGAAGGAAGAATAGCCTCTTCTTGAATATTCTAAAACTAGTTATTTCAACAAACAAACAGTTACTTACTCTGTTCCCTTGTGCCATTTGACCAGTTTATTTGCATAGGCGTAGTACACCATTGTCATAATTATGGATAAATATTGCTTCTGTTTTGGTCTCTCTGTATTGTGCACTCAGTGTCTTTTCCTTGAATGGGAGACCAGTACTATAGCTCTGACAATACATTTACATTATTACACTTGGGGATTTGCATCCTTCTGTTAATCATGGCAGCATCACCTAAAGATCCCAAGAGAGATCGGGGTGGGGGGTTGTATATACAGCAAGAGGCAGGCAGTCCCTGCCCCCAAAGTGTTTACAGAAAGTACAAAAAAGTAGACAATTGATGGGAGAAAAAAATTATTATGTATTGCTGAACTTTTATACTTTTTGTGCTGCCAAATGAAATAGCCTTGTTGATCCCAGGGCCTGAAGAAGAGTTCTATGTACGTTTGTCTCTTTCACTGACAGAAACGGGTCCAGTAAAAGATACAGCCTCTCAACACCCTGTGCATCTGACATAAAATGAAGCATTTTTACAACATTTTACCCTCTCACTTCAGCAACAATTTTTAAAAAAATGTAAACGATATTTGAGGGGTGAAGTCATTTAACTGCGGGGTTTCGTTTCCAATTTGTTGCTCTCCATGTCAGTAGGCAATGGAGACTATAGGAGGAGAATTTGTCGTTGGATAAAACATCTGCAGCATTGCCTATTAAAACTGAACTTTTACAAACTGCCACGTTCCGTGACAAGATCGTCTCCATATGGGTGAGCAAAGAAACAATCCAGACCACAGCACTGCGCCGGAGACTAGGTACACAGCAGAGCAGCATGGCTGAGCGCAACATGCGCCTCCCCCCCGCCCCGGTACCCTCAGATACCCAGGCTCTGATAGTGGCCGCTAGCGAGCCCCGCTAGTGGAAGGCCGGGCCTGGGGGCGTGCAGGGCCGTCGCACAGCGCCCCGCGGCTGCCTGAAGAGAGGGGCACGGAGGTTGCCGCTAACACGCCAGGGGAGCCTCCTGAAGCGGAGGAGGCGCCGAGCAGGGACAGAAGGGCCGGGATACATCCCCGTGGGGTGCGCGACGCCTCCCTCACGCTCGGCGCCCGGCAGCCGGGGTTGGGGCCCCGCGGCGGCAGGCGAGCTGTCCCTGCCCCGAGACAAGCCGGGAAGGAGCCTGTATCCTCCCCGGGGACCCTGCCTACGCAGCGTGAGGTGCAGGGGAAGGAGACCGACGCGTCTCACGCGGTCCCGTCCCGCGGAAGAGCCAGACTTGCCCGGGAGCGCGGCCACGCCGGGCTCCCACCTGGTAGAGGGTGGCCGTCCTGCCGCGGTCGGTGAGCAGCACCCGGTCGGAATCCGGTCCGGGTTCCAGCCCCAAGATGCCCTGGCCAACCCCAGCGCCCGCGCTGGCCACTAGGCCGCACAGCGTGAACTCCTCATACAGCGTCGCCATCTTCCACAGCCGCCGCCGCCTCTCGCGAGAGCTGGGAACGGAAGCGGGCAAGGGGAAGCACCGCAGCTAACGGCCAAGAGGGAGGGCGGGAAGGGAAAGCACGCGCGCGAGAATCCACCGCTAGGCTGGGAGGCGTATGTGGACGTGCGGGGAAGGACGCATGCGCACCTATCTGGAACGCTGGGTGGGGGAGCAGCAGCGCCACCTGTGGGGAAGGAAAGAGTTGGGTGCGAGGAGGAGAGGGCAGGTCTGTGTGGTCCTGTCACTCCTTGTGGGTGCTGGGCAGTGTTCCCTGTAAACTGGGCGTCGGAGTGGCTGTTCAGGAGAGATTCCAGTGCTGCCCAGCTGATTAGCAGAGAGCCCACAGCTAGGTTTGTATTTCTGCTCATGGTGCACATATCTCGGTGCACATAAAATTATTCCGCACACGGATGGGGAAAAATCTGCACATGGATTGGAAAAGATTAGAGGGAAGATCCTTGCTCGGTGCCCCCTCTACTTCTGCCACTGGTGTATTGTGAGACCTGGGGCAAGCCAGAGCCCCTGGGGCGGGGGATCAGAGGCAGCACAGCTGGCCTGAGGAGATGAGGGAGGGTTGGGGGCAGTGCAGTTGGCTGGGAGAGATGGGGGAAGCTGGGGGGCGGGGCTGGAGGGCG